GGTCCCATGGAATATCTCAACCCTGCAGCAAGTGAAGGCACAGAGAAGGGCTCTGTTGGTGAAACAGGACTGAGATGTCACTGATTTGTGCCAGCATGTAGGGCTCAGCTCTGAAAAGTGACACTTGGGATGAATAAATCATGGGCCCTCTCATAGCAACCTGATGGCTTCATCCAGCAATGCTGGTGGTGAAAGAGGGCGCAGGCTCTGCTTTAAGAGCAGGAAGAGCTCGCTGCCAGCTGAGCCATCAGTAGAAGGTCGGGGAGGCCATGGAAAGGGACCTCCTTCAGGTCATCCGCGAGATGCACTCCCAGATCGACAAGCTGGAGCAGGAGAACCGAATGTTGAGAGAAGAGCTGCGTACCTGCGGGCTGAGTGCCGCTGTGCGAGGTGGCAGCAGGGAGATGGGCAGCCCATCCTGCCCCACAGAAGGATCTGATGCATTGCCCACGGCCCCAGTGGATCAGGCAGGTACAGTGACGTTCGTGTGTGACTCCAGTTGGGCTGTTATGGATCTGCAGGGAGACAAAGGTGGGCCACAGCTGTGTATCTAGCAGACATAACCATGTGCTCCGGCCTCCTTCAGTGCCCACATCCAGACCCATGTTAGAGGTGTCTGCGACCCTCTATATGGTGCCTGCACCCCTGTACTGGGCTCAGTGTAGTGCTTTGCTGTTCTTGAGGCGTTCTGCTCAGAGCTCAGTTTGTCTTTATTTAAGCAGAATTTGATTTGGTGCCATGAGATTTCGTGGGTATGGGCTACCGCAGTGCTGTTTTGGGTGTTTCTGTCCTCTGAAAAGGACTAACAACTGTAATTGTGTTGTCACCTCACTTCAGAAAAAGCTGGGAACAATCTCCTAGCAGTAACAAATGGGAGATGTTTCACACACCACATCAGAGGTGCAGGTTCTTCTTGCAGATAGGCAGTTAGTTTTGTCTGAGGAAGAAACGAGGCAATAAACAGGAAAGGAAGGCTGTCTTTTCCCACTCTTACTAGAGTGGAGAGAAGATGGAGTATTTCCTCTTTTGTAGCTTGGTTGGCACTCATGGAAGATTTAGTGAAGCAGAAAGAGCAAAAATGCTGTTAGGTGAGAAGCAGTTGTCCAGAAGTGGATGTGGTGGCTGCAGGGTCAGGCTGGTGAGTGCAGTCTGTGCCGTCTGTAGCACCTAGGCCACCAAAAGCATTCAGTGACAGCTTCCTGGCACTGCCACAGCTGCCGTCACAGTCTGAGTGCCCTCCAGCAAATATTCCTAAGGCAGGGCTCTCCCAAAAGTTGGCTGCATTTGTTCCCAGCTCCGCTCTTCTCTCTGCTCCACAGACACCACCATGACGGTGCGGCGCTACTCCACCGCAGCATCAGCACCCTCAAGGCCGCACCGTGCCAGCAAGCAGCCCCCGAGCAGCGTGCAGCTGGAGGAGCGGGGCAGGGCCAATTTGCACGCCTGTCCCACTGCAGCACAGCACCTCAGCGATGCGGGCAGAGGCCTTGGGAAGAGCCCAGCCAACTGCTTCTCCAGCAGTAGTTCCAGCAAAATGAGGCTGTTCCAGGAGCACGTCCGCAGGTGCAGGTAGGGGCAGTGTGCCTTCACACCTGGTTTCACCTGGCCGTGGCTCTGCTTTGGGTTTCAGTTCAGCGGCAGCGATACGTCGGATTGTCTAAATGTCTCTAGGCACTGAGCAGAGGGGAGATACGTAGGGTGGGATGTCCTGCTCCTCCTGCCAAACCTCCCCAATGGTCAGTGTTAGCAGCTTACGTTTCCAAAAACAAAGGAGCGGGTGAGGAAAGGGGGAAGGGGTTGCAGTGTTCTTCCCACCAGAGCAGAGGGGGTTTTGCAGGTTGGTAGGCAGGTCTGACAAGCCAAGTTCCAGGAGCGAAGGGATACAGAGTTACCCTGTGCTGTGCTTCTGGAAGCATGATAAAGTGGTGCATGGATGCAGATTCTCTACATCATTTTGCTCCTGTAGCTGAAGCATTACAAATTAATGCTTTCAGCCTCGAGAATAATGTTCTCAGGGCTCTATATTGAATGGAATGGCTCCTGGAGAAGTTGTGAGCACCTCTGCTCGCTGGCGAAAAGCTCTCCAACACACAGCAATAATTTAAAGTAAGGGCTCTAATGGTGAGTCTGTGATACTCAGCAGCTCCAGACCCTCCCGCTGCTGTTACACACGGTGTGACTCCCTTTACATAGCTGCTTTTAGTGCCAATCATGCTGTGCTTAAAACAGAGACAGCCCAAACGGCCTCCAAGTGTGCACTTAAGCAGGAGAAAACCGTGGGCTTGAACACTTACACCTGTTTTGTTGTAAGAATGTTTCAGGGTCAGGTGCTTTACAGCATTTTAACAAGTAAATTTAGACCCAGGCAGGGAACACATCTCGCTTTCAAAAGCACCCTGACCCCATAGCGCTGGGTTTCAGCATATGCTTTGCTTGGTTCTGGCAGACTTCTGAGTCGATGCACGTAGACACTTTAGAGAGTTCTGCCCTGGAGGCACCTCGCTTGGGAGCCTTTGTGTCAGGATGTGCACTCAGCGTGCAGGGGGCACTGGCAAATGTCAACATTTTCTCCCAAAGGGAAAAAGTTTTCAGAGTTATCAAGCTAGCAGTGTAGATGTCTTACAACTGATGCTTTGTGATCTGTGGACGAAAAGCACTGGTTACTTAATAGTAACAGGAATATTGCTGATTATTTTATCATTCCCTTTAGAGCTGCCTTGGCAGCACTGGCCTGCACCAAGTCTGGCACAGGGTCTTGTGTCAATGCACTGTTGGCTGCTTTAACAGAAGAAATAACTATGGAGTGAGGTTGTTTTGTTTTGTTTTGTTTTTTAACCTCACCTTACCAACAGTCCAAGTCACATCTCAAAGCATGAAATTCTGAGATTTGTGTGAATAAAAGGCTTCATATGTTTTCAGGCCATAATTGTGGCCATTGCCGCTTACACACAGAGGGCTAAGGCAGGCAGAAATCTTGGTAAGCCTTTTACTAGCAGGATAACTTGTAGCAATGAGTTCTCCAAGCTAATGAAGCATAATTTTTTATAGGGATGGCATTTTGCACTGCAACAGGTCTTCATGATTTTAGTAGTAGGTCTCTCACATTTTGCTCTAACATCATAACCATATGTGAGATACTGAGTATTTTTTCCTTTGGAAGTTACTATTCAGATGTATCCCCTTGGATTTATCTAGAGGAGCCAGGAGTGCATGGAACTGTAAGACTTAATGGACAAAGGCAGATGCTCCCAGCAGCCAGCCAGCCAACACCGTGCCTGGCCCCTGGGGAGCTGTGTGAGCTCAGTGTCAGCAGGGCAGGAAATTCTGCCCACACACATCATGCAAGTGCTGCCTGCATTCACTTTTGGCTTGCTGGTGGGGGTTTTGTGCACATTTTATACATTTGCGATCCTCATAATCCTTTCTCATTTTTCTCCAGGGGTAAAGTAAAGGCTGTTAGTTTCCTGTTACCAATGGATGTGTCTTATGCTGGAAATCAAGGTTCTTTCAAAAGCCTGCAAAATCAGGACACAAAACAGTTAAGTACCATCACTGAAAAGGATATGTGAGCTGGTGAATTTTTAAAGGCCCATTGATTCTCGAGATAAATTGGCCTTAAATGATAGCTATGTGTCAGGTTCCTTATCTGCAAAACGCTTTGGCAGGCTGCCTTCACAGACTCACCCAGACGGTGTTTCGGGTCACTGCCCTGTTGTTCAGCAAGGAAATGGAAGCCATGACAAAACTGGCTGGAAGCATGTATGCTGCGATGGAGCCACATGATAGCAATGCTCCTCCAGAAAGCAGCTTCTGCTCAACACGACTCGAGGCTCCCTCATCTCAGCACTGCTTTAAACAGGATGTTAAAGCTGGTTTGCTATGTTTGTTGCAAAAAGCGGAAACCAAATCACATCTTGTGTTTGCTGATCCCTTGACAGGTGAGGTATTTGTTGCAAAAGATGAAGAGCTGCTAAAGGACCTGGGAGTCTCTTCTGTACTTAAAACTTCAGATTTCACAATACCAACACAGCAAAGTCAAGGCGATGTTACAGAACCAGTCAACATTACTCCGAACTTTTGCAAATCTTGTCTGTGACTGCTGATGTCCACTTCAGGTCCAACTCGACAGGAGCACAAGGTGCTAATCAATATGTAAACATGACTGCAAATCTGTTTCTGAGCTGGTGTCCATCAGAGATATCGTACCCCAAGAGAGAGCAGGAAGGACTCTGAACCAGAGGACTCAAATGTTTTCAGGAATGGTGTCTGAACACAGCTCAGATCAAGAATCATTAGCAGACGTCCAGCATACTGGTGCAAAACCAAAGGAAGAATAAAATGGCTTATAAAAAATGAGGAGTGCTTGATAACATAGATCTGGTAGTGTGAGTAAGGATAGTGTCCCATGTGCTGTTTGCTTTGGCCACAAGCAAATGTTTGTTATGTTTTTAACACGCAGGCTGTACCGATGAGTGAATACTGCCCAAATTGTCAGTCTTATTGTCTACCTTTTACACTCTGGAGTCTTCAAAAGTGAAAGCAGAGAGCTGGTAGACAAAGAAACCATCCTGACTTTCAGTGATGTTTTATACATGTGTAAAAAATATCAGTCCCTTTTTTATTTTGAAATTGTTTTATATATTCAAGAACATTTTTAATACATTCCCAATGAAATGATCTTTTCAGTTTCACCACTATTTCATTTGTGGATTTTATTTTCAGCTTGACTCCATACAGAGCTGCACTGTAATGTTAGAAGTGTTTTTAATCAAAGACTCCCAGCAAATTGGGTTACAGTTAGGAAAGTTTGCTGAACAGCTCTTTTCTGAAAGCATGCACAAGGAAATGCTTTTTAAATGTTTTAATGAAAGCTCAATTGCAAGAAACTAGACGTGTGTAAAGTACCTAAATCCAGCTGGTTTCACTTAACAGAGAAACAAGCGTCTTTGAAAACCTGGCCTCTAGACTTCTAAAGGTACCCCAAGTGCTTTTGAACATTCATGCTTGAACACCAGATTTAATGGGATTTGGGAATCCATGTGCTCCAGACGGCTTTCAAAAATCTCAACTTTTAAATCCTGTCTGCCTCAACCTTCTCAAAGCAGCGGTGCGAATTCTGCTCTCCCACCCCTCCTGTGTCAGTTCAGTGCAGGTCAGTCCCTGCGTGTTAGCACATGTATTAGCACACAGCAGTGTTAACTGTACCAGGCTGCTGATTCTGATGCCACAAAAATGCATATCACTGTGTATAGTCAAGAAATTAAACTTTGTTTATTGGAGGTGTCACGGTCTTAACTTTTTTTTTTATATTCATAAGAAGAACTAAAAATGGTGGAAAAGAAGGAAAGGAATCAAACTAGACATTGAAAAATGACAATCGGTCCATTAATGGAAACATTTATTTTTGAATGATAGTTCTGTATTACTGACATCTTTAGCAGTATCCACAGATTTAAGAACACAGGACAGTGCACAGGCGTTTTTAAAAGCAGTTCAAGATGTTCAGATTTGACCAAGGTCCACATCTCCAACAGGGAAGCAGAAGACCAGACAGTAGCAGAGGCCACAGAGAAACCACTGAGCACATCAAATGCACTGAAGTACAGCGTAAAGTATCTGACCATGGTGCACTTACTGGCAATTAAAACATCCCAATATTAAATATTCATAGATTGCTCAGTGCAGAAAGGACAGGTATAAGCAAAGCAAGTGTTAAAATTTGCGCAAAGTAATGCAGACAGCAATTAAGCCATGAACCATTTCTGTCTTCCTCCCATAGAGGATTCATACCTAAACTCTTTAACATATACCACATCCTAGTCGCTGATGGCAAGGCTTGTTGGGCTACAGAGTGCTTCCAATCAAAAATTCTCCCTTCTAAAGAGAGAGTAAGTGATTTAGCCATGCAGGTACAGCCTGCGGGAGCAGCTGGGACAGCAAGAAGTTCCCTCCTGCACTAACTGGCAACTGTGATGTTTCCTCCTGTGCAACACGTGAGTTTGGGGCTATGTGGCTTTATGTAGCCATCACAAATGCAGAAAAAGATGGAGCCCATCACTGTCATTTGTTAAATGACAAGTTCTGTTTTATCAGTGTGAAATGCATCTGTAGGCTGAAGGCAAGAAAATTTTGTCAATTTTCATGTTAAATCGGTGGGATAGTGCTGACTTAACTGTTACTGCAGATTTACACCACTGTGAATGAGAAAGAAATCAGGCATTGGCTTTCCTTAGGAATGTTGTTTTAAAGGTTGGTAACAACATGAAAAAACAAAGCCATGAACAACAGAAGCTGTGCCACATGGGGTGGAGTTGCTAAGACTGCAGGTGAAATGCAGGCATGTCTGAGCGCAGCACACCATCAAGTGCTTCGAATCTTCGTACCCAGTTTAACAGTAATGCTTAGATGTATATTCACTCTACAGCATACATCAACCTCTCCACAATAATGAACAATGTCTAGATAGAAAACTCCATCTACGTAAAAACATTAATAAATGCTGACAGACAGAAAATTGCACTCTCCCAGGCTGGCGCTGCCCAGTTTTATTGCTGAAAGTGCTAAAGCTTTAAAGGGTGCGTTCATAAGTGCATTTTAGTCAGTGTCCAGAATACATTTGTAAGTGAATTTCTAGTTATGCTCACTAACTGAACTTCATTTTAAATCGTAGAGTGGTCTCAAAGCACATTAATGGATCTCTTCTGGATGAAAATAAGCTGAGAGATGCACTTGTAAGGTGCTCAAAAAGCTAACAGGCATTTCGTGTGTGCTACCACATGAAATACCCAATGTGTGGAGAGCAGCACAGTTTCACCCTACACATCCTCCTCCATCGGTCTGCATGCACTGCTTGTTCATAGAGCCACAGAGCACCCAGCCAGGACAGCTACTGTCCAATGGATTTAAAAACAAAACCTAACGAGGTGAAATTTCATCTTGCTACACTATAGGGAGAAGGCAATTCCTTTCATCAGTCTTACCTCTCCATCTGGTGTTTAAAAGGCTTTGATCGTGCCACAGACAGAGGCAGAAATGTGATGCTCCAGGCTGTAAGGGAGGAGTCACACTATAGACTTGTCCGCTGGGTTCTTGCTGGAAGTTCAAATGGGTCTCATGTTTGTATATTTAACACAATGAATCCACACACAAAGATAGTACATCAGTGTGCAGGGTACATCACATGTCAAACTCACCCAAAACACAGTACATTCCATCTACTACAAGCTCCACATACAGGAACAAGAGGATGATTTATGATACGCCAGACTGTCCACAGTCTTTTTATCAATTATATTTTGCTCCTCTATCTTACATCCTTGACAGCTGAACTCTGATTTTTCTCTGCTATTTCTGATTAGGTGCAATCTAAGAATATATCAGAATGGAAGTAACTCAGCAAGGGAGCCTCTGACACCAGGTAAGCAATGCTGACCCTTAACACTGTTATTTTCAGTGATGTTAGCAGCATTAATTTCAGCATTGATGTACTCCCTGTGTAGTTCTGAAGCCTTAATTTCGTTTAGCTGAAGTGAGACCATAGGAAATAAACTTGAAGCTTGTTGGAAGGTCTCAGATAATTCATTGGCCTTGAACAGGCCTTCAGTGTTGAGATGAATTCAATATCGCTTAATTTCACAATGTGTATTTCCTTCTTAAGCCTTCTAAGTACAGCATACACAGCTGACTCAAAGATCATAGACTGTTTTATGTTTTTTATTGTTACGTGCTACAAAGTAGGCAGTACTGTCTCCTCAGGATGGCAAAAATATAAGCTGTATTATATAGAAATCTATTCTGCACTTTTACTGCAGAATACTTTTCCTCAGCAAACGACTCACTAGAGATTAATTGTCATCATAGTTAAATAGATAGAACAGACCAAATTCTGCTGACCTTACACAAGGAGGTTGTTGGCTGTGCTGAAGACAGATGGTCCCTTCAGGGAATGTTTCTTGTACTGCTTGCTTGCTTGAGTATGAACATTTCTAATTGCATGACTCACCTCTTTCCCTACTGCTGCATGAGATACCAAACAGTCATTTTTTAGTAGAGATATTCAAAGAAATGGGAGAAGCCGAAAAATGCATCTTCAACTTATCTTGTGGTGGTCTCATTCTCCACTGGGAGTGTCATCTGACGTGTGCAGATTGGTTAAAAAAAACATCACTTTCCATTCCTTTTGCTGAAAATTGTGATGAAATGTCTTTTCTGTCTTTTTTGTTTTTTAAGAAAACGATGTAGAATCTCATATAGAAAACTGGTCCCAAAACAGGAAAATGCACTAAATAATAATAAAAATGCTCTGATTAATGTAAAAAGTCAGAAACTTAGAGCAAATTGCAAAAATTGGAGCGAACGTTTCTGATTTGTGGCTCTTCAGTATCTGGTTTGACTCTTCCCCTGTTCAGAGGATGAGGAGCATCATCTGAATGCTGGTTGCCAGGGAGACTCCCATAGCTTTTTGAATTGTAATTTTTGCCTGAAAAGAAATACTCCTTCAGTGTGAGTTTTTAATGACCACAGAGGTTTCTATTTGTCATATATTAGATTAACTACTACTTCTAAATAGGTGGGAGGGGAATAAAACATCTCCCAGAAATCAATCAATGGCAATATTCTTAGTCTTTATGAAACCTACAGGTTAAACAAATAGAATTACAAGACTTGCTGCATTAGATTAGACTGTTAAGGCATCAAACTCATCACTCAGTATCCGTTACTTGAGTAAAGACTGAGCTTTGACTGTAGAAAGTGGGCATGGAAATAAATCCTTCTAATCCCCACAGGAGACTGGTTTGAGGACTGACAGGCTGCAGAGCCAACAAGGTCTCTCTCTCTCAGGCTTGATCAGGGTTTCCCCATAACTACATAAAATAATGGCAGTTTTTCTAGGAGAAGTTGTGCATATGAATAATTGTGTCTACCCTCACGTAGAGCTGTCTAAAAGTTATCAGTTCTTTGCATTATCTGATGCTGAAATCTGACAGCTATGTCAGCTTCTTTCCACCTAATGCAAGACCAACAGTTCTGATTGCTCTGAAGGTGAATTTGTTTGGCCTTAAGCAATGTGCTAGTTGGTTAGTTTACCCAACATACATATACTGGCTATGAATTCCTGTCTCAAATAAAGCCACAGCATTCAGAAGTGGAATACAATGAAACCGCAATAATAAGCCTCCTAAGTTGCTTTGTAATTGTTGCCTTTTCTAGATGGTAACTAAATAACTACCTGTTAAATCTGCAATTTTTGCTTGATTTCTTCTTTTGAGGCTGTTTTGTGCATCTGTGGGAACATCAAGATACTTCATTGCAATGGTTGTGGTCTGGTCCTTCTCTGGCTGATTATGAGTAGCTGAAAGAACAGAAAAGAACGCTTACTGTAGTTGCATTAACATTCATTTGTTTAAGGACATAAAGATATGTCAAGTTGACTCTACCTGTCTGATGAGAACTTGGCACTGCCTCAGCCCTGTCTTCTTGAAAGGACTGAGCAGATTCACGGCCAGAATCTAAGTCTTTTATTGGCCTTCCCATAATCTCATTCTCACATGCAGTTTTATTTCTAATGAGGAAGTATGTATGCATCTTTCCTTTGCCTTTCACTTCTATTTCTCCTCTTTCTGTCATCTCAAAATTTTTGTATTTTAGACACCTAAAATGACAGAGGAAAATTCAAGGTTAGCAAACAAACAAACAAACAAAAAAACCCATCAGTGCTAACGTGGTCTCTGGCTTTCCTATTTCCTAATACCACTCATAGGTGCCCAGTCCATGTTTTTCTACTCCTCTGCAGCTTGTCTTCACTTTCACCTCTTCCTGCATATTTTGTGCATATATAAGATTCTTGAAAATGCAGTATTTAATTTTTATTGACAAGAGCTTTGGGAAAGTGAATTCCTCACTTCATGAATAACATAGTGATTTATACAGTTTATCCATAATAGGTGCAAATAAAACTATTCTGCCACAGAGTATTGTACTCAATAAGAGAGATTTTAAAGCTCTGGTTATGCAGGATGTCAAATTAAATTATATGTATTTCCAGCATTTACATCAGGCTATTGGTACTTTCAAAAAAAATCACATCTATTTTTTTCATCTTGTACTTTCTGGGATCGAGACTTTCAAACCTCTATATACAAGGACATCTGAAATGATCAAAACTAAGTTCTTTGCAAGCAGTGATTTTTCTTTACAAGTAAGCTGCATAACAAAAGACAGGACCGTCTACATCTGAAAGCTGCATCTGTAAGACAGTGTTTTTAGCACAGCTTTTAATAGGAAAATTTTTCATCAGAATTACTCACTGATAGGCACTGGAGCTCAGATGAATTTTACTTGGGACACCATGACTCTCCATGCGGGAAGCTATATTCACTGTGTCTCCAAACAGGCAATAACGAGGCATCTTTTCTCCAACAACTCCAGCCAAGACAGGACCTGTATGGATCCCAACTCTAATCTTTACAAAGACATAAAACACCCCCCAAAAACGTCACTTGTTATTTACGACCTTTCTTAATGCTACTGAGTCACCTAAAAGTCCACCTTAACACAACACTGGGTGCTAGCAAAATACCAAATATCCGCAGGGAAAGGCTTTTGCTGGAAAATGCACCCACGTGACCACAGTCACAGAGAAATTAAAAGCAGCTCTTTGATGTCCCACTGCAATACATTAACCAGAAGCCCAACCCAAGAATCAGTCTGTGTGTTAACCACTTACTTGGATTGGATTTCCAGAAACTGGGTTCTGTACTCCTTTAGCTGCTATTATAATCCCCAAGGCAAAGTTAGCAACGCGCTCAGCATGAGTGGATACAGGCACAGGGACTCCACCTACTACCATATAGGCATCTCCAATTGTCTCCACCTTTAATTGAGAAGGACAAGTATATGAGCACTGCCTATAATTCTCCTTCAGGTTAGTGCTTTGCTGTTGGAGGCTCTCCTTACCTGCACCAACTCCCTCTTCCTTCTAAAACATGCTTCCAATCATGCTCTAGCACGTGTGAATTTCCTTGAGATGGGGATCTATTCCTTGATTCCAAACTGAAAAATTCAGTGTGTTCTGTCCCTGCTTACTTGACCCAGCTTAGATACCATTGTGAGAAACCCTAAGGAGTAAGAGATGCTGGGAAAGTGCCAGACTTCTTGTCTTCCACCCCACCAGGGCAGATCTATATGTAAGGAACTATCCTCAAGCACAACTCCTGAGCCAGAAAGTTATCTGATAGTTAAATACTATTAATTAGCTCCAGTTCACAATTGGTATTAAAAGTGTATTTCCATTTTAAAAGTCACAACAAATCAAGAGAGTCTATCCATTGGTGATTATTAAGTGGTTCATGTGAAATTAGGAAGCCTACAATTCCCAATGGCACAATGTCAGAGAATGCAGGGTGTGAACCAAGCACTTTGTGAATATCCTTCCTTACAATCAGATGTTCTCCCACAACATGGTGCTGCCAGTGAGAAAGATTCTGAAAGGTTAGTCCTACTTCAGGTGTTCATTCTCCCTGAAATGCACACTGAAATGCACCTGAGTAATACTTCAGGGTTTGTCCCCATATCAGGGATTTTGCTGGGAATGCAATACGGCCTTTTGAAACACAGAATTCATTTGAGATTCATTGTAAGAGTCTCTTACACAGCCAAGAAATTTTGTAAACTGCTCTTATAAGATTTCACTGTTACATTCACCATCAGCAAATAAGAGACCATCTTAAATTAGATTAACTGGATTTCTTACTAATGAGCATCTTTGGGCTTGATCACTAACATAATGACTCAAAACAGTTCAGTAGTTCAGTCCTGAAAAACATGTTCCTGTACATACTTGCTATCAAGATATACACACCACAGTAATACCAGTAATTTCTCTAACAAGACAAAAATAACTGTAAGAGGCTACTAACACAAATAGATACCCCAACTATCTTTAGGCTGTGACAGGTTATTTAATTTAACAAGATTAATTCATGACTTCAGGCATTTAAAAGCATGGGCCAAGTTTCATTGATCAATTTCAGTATTTCATTTCTTTCACAGATCCCTGAAATAATCATCTTGTCTTCCTTCCCTGTGCTCTAGCTACCTCCTTTAATATTAATGGGAGTTGTATGCAGCATCAAAAGGAGATTATTATAGCGACAGATAATTCACTCAAGATGTATGATTTAGATAGAACATGATGCTAATCCATTCTAAAATCTGAAGGCCATATTCTGGTTGCTTCAATTATTGAGAAGAGTTTCCCTGCCAAGGCAGAAATCCTTCTGATTTCCCGGTACAAATTTATTGCAGGATGAACTGCTTGTCTTGCCCCAATAAGGAATGAATGAGGTTTGGATTTCACTCTTTGCTATTTCTGCCTTCTTAAATATTTAATGTGCTAGGGACAGACAAAATTAGGATCAGCTGTTAAAACCTAAGTAGCTCTGGAGTTGTTAACAGTGCTGTGCTGTGCAGGGCTCTCATCCTTCCTTCACAGTTTGAAGACAGTATGTGTGTTACAGTTTAGATCTAATCAGTGCTCTCAGAGGTCAAGAGGAGATGCATACCATTGCGTAAGATCTCCGTGAATCAAAATCAAAGAAATCAAAGCCCAGCTTTTGACTGTTTGTGTAGTTATCTCCACCAAAGGAGACATCTAATAACACACTGACATGCTTTACAAGAGATTGGAATAAAGGGACTAGGAAAATTATTCAGATTGGTCCACGAACTGGGATATCCTAGGATCTTGGATGGGTGTTTGAGAGAGATGTATCAAAACAGCAGTTCTGGTATTAGTATTTTGAACAGACTCTAGCCAATGACAGAAGTTACTCTCCTTTTCAAAATTTTCAACACATTTAATCACGTCTTCATATGTTTTTGATTTTTTGTTTCTCTATATGGTCACTATAAATATGCAGTATTTTATGGTTTCTAGGAAATCATGCTGGGGTAAAGAGCAGTTAAGTGCATTACAAATATATAATAATAATAAATAAATAAGCAAACAGTCTGATTCCAGACTATTTCTATAGTGTTAATCAACAACATACCTTGTATACATCATGCACTGTGGTCAGTCTGTCAAACTGCAAGTACATTGAATTTAACATGAGAACTATCTGAATAGGCTCACATTGGGCACAAATGTTGGTAAAGGTCACTACATCACTGAACAATATGGTGCATTCCTTGAATTCTCCTGCAAGCAGAAAAAAACAGATGTAAATAACAGTAATGGCTGGGTAACCATGGCAGTTTCCTGCAAGGATTTCTTTCTAGTCACTGTTTTAGGACACATGACTTTTCAGCTGTAGTACTTACACGTGTTCAGATATGAAAGATGTTGATATAAGAATATTTCAAATATAAAAACTACAACACATCATTTCAAACAGTTCAGACATCTGAATATGTTCCTATGCTCACCTACATTCAGGAAATACAAAGCTCTTCATCCTGGATTTCATACATGTGTTTACTAAAGGGAATATAAGAATATTCTTACTATCCTTAAGAGAAATAGGAATCATGATAACTCCAGGTTTACAGGCAGCACAGAGAAGCTAGGAAAATTTTCTAAGAAAAACTGATTTCTGTATTTCTTTTTTGAGCCCTCATGTCCCTGTATACTCATTTTAAAAACAAAAGCCCATTTTACTGTTGAAACACCAAATTTTGTCCCTGAATGGGCAGCTGCTACCTTTCATTTCCTAGGAAACAATACTGGCAAATAGCTTCCAAAGTTATGTCTGAAATAAAATAATAATCTAATCTACCTTACCAGTGAAATGAAGGGTCTGTCGTTCTCCGATTTACTACCCATGAGTGTCATTAAGTAGAAAATCTACTTCACAGCAATGACTTTGTGGCTGTGCTAGTTCCCAGTCTCTCTATCACCATCACACTGGGTGCACAATTCATGCTTTATGAATGAATACTGTTCATTCACCTGCCTCAACTCGCTTCCCCTCTTTCAGCTGGTTTGCTACATGTTGAGGAAGCATGGCGTAGAGCAGAGCTTCAGTCTTTTTCTTCTCTTCTTCCAGGTGCTTTGACAGTACCCGCAGTTCTTCCTTCTTCCTCTCCAGCTGGTTAGAGAGCTCCATCTCTGCCAGTCGCTGCTGATTGAGAAGAATCAAATCCCTGGTCACGTCATGAGGTGCAATGTCTGCAATATGCATCTGTCGCTCCTCCAGCTCATGTAAAGTGCGAAGTAAAGGTGAGCAGAGATAGAGCATGCACTGCAGAGACTCCATCCAGATCATCTGGCCTGTTTAAAACAAGTGCTGATAAGAGAGTTCATCACCCTGAAATTCTGTGTAAGGTTCAGTGCTACTGATGTGAATACCAGGGAATGATTTCTAAGGACGGTAGCTTTCTGTAGGGTCTGTGTCATCACTGCAATTGTTTCCTAGAACTAAGTGGGTTGGTATGGATGAAGTGTACTAGGTAAATAACAAGATTTCAGGACTCAGAAAGCAGTCACTCATTCATTGTAAATGCAAGATAGAGCCTAACTATGTTTTGGGTTCCTTCTCTTCAATAGGAATCACAATTGCTCACAACATCTCTCCTTTCCCTTGCATTGTACACTGGGAAACTGAGATTCAAAGTAATTTAAGTGAAAGACTTAAATTTCATAGTGGGTAAATTGTGGTCCCAGTAAAGTCAATGAAGTTTCTCTTCTAGAAGCTGGAGCTTTAAGTTGAAAACTCACATAAATAAACAGGTACAAATATGTCTGAAAGTTATAAGAGATTTTTAGTGGAGGATTGGGTTTTTGTTTTCAGGGTTGAGATTTGGTTATGGGTTTCTTTTGTTGTTATTTTGTGTTCTATTTTAAAAAACCTAACTGAATAATAGGAAGTAAAATTTTACCCGTGGCTAAAATTCCTTTTTTGTTAACAACACTTTTTTCAAGGTCTCCCTAAACTCTTTGTTTTTTTCTGAATCTCATGATTTGGCACTCATCACGTAGAGGTGATAGGAAATAAAGGAAAGTTAGGTCATATTCTATAGTTCAAAGGAGCAAAACTGAGGTCACAGAGTACTTAAAACAACTGTCATTTCAGTTAATTACATGGAGAATTATTCTACGCTCATTCCCTCATTTCTCTTAGTAAAAATAGAGCAAAATAAAATCTCTATTGCTACAACAATTTCAACCAGTAAACTCTTCCATAACATAATAGAGAGAAAAAAAAAAAAAAAAGACAAATCAATCTGCAAATGTGAATAATAAAAAAGCACCATTAACTAATTTATTTTTATCCGCATTTGAAACCTAGCCAGTATACCAAATAACTCCCTTCAAAGGTATGAAGTAAATCTGTATAATTAATATATTCACACTATAGAGATCAGAATGTGCGGAGTCACAGGGGAAGACATTTCTCTTCTTCCAGCTGTAGAAATTTTACCAGGAATTTATCTTTAAGCTCCTCCCTCTTTCTCTGTCCCTTTTCTCCCCTTCCCCTGACAGAACTGGAACTGCACACTGACAGCAGAGATGTGTTTTGCTGTGTATTGCTGGAATCCTCACCCATTGTTTTAACTGTTTTCTTTACGTGCCAGGGATGTAATCCAAGATCTGTGCACTGGTATCTGTGCTAGTTGGCTGGGCTCAAAATGTTGTTCCAAGTACAAAGAAGTAATTTTTTCATCAAAGAAAATTCTTAGCAATGCAAAGTGATTCTATTTCAGGTGGATATGCTGATTTGCAGGCTATGGGAAGGTGAGACCCAGACAGTTTTACACAGCTCACTGCATCTCCACATTCTGCCTAATGGTTCTGAGAGCAGAAGCTGGCTCTGTATCTCTTCCACATTCCACAGGTCCCAAGGCTTTCCAAGCCTTTCAAATGGGAATGCTGGTACGAACTGAAAGCCTCCAAAATCTCATGAGATAATATTTGAGTTTGTCTATGAGCATTTCGAAGTACTATTTATGTACAGAGAATGATCTAATCCTTCCCTTGCTGCAAACAAGTCTACTTCTAAAATTTATGTGAAGCCAGGAGTCCACAGAAAGACATTAGTTTAACTCCAGCATTATTCTTCATTTAGTATGAGCATTCACGCTTCTGAAAACAGTGAAGTACCTCTCAGCTCCAGCATTGGCCGCTGTTTCCATGACTCTGGCATCATTTCTCTCTTGGTCTGGAAAACAAATTGGCTGTTGATAAATTTCTGAATGCTAGAGATGGTGAAGGGTACTTCTGGATGAACGATACTGAAATAGTGATCCAGACAGATGCCCATGGTCTGAAGGCCAGGTACGATCTTTTGAATGCTCACCCCAGCTTGCTTCACTCTGAGCTTAAAAAGAGAATACAGACAATGTGATACAATGCACATCCTGTTTGGTGTCAGACCAAGCTGCAGCTTAGTACTGTTTACATACATATACACACTCAGCCTTGTAATACCATGTGGATTATTTCTATGTTATTAGCCAAACTCTTATTACTCAGTACAAAACTATCTTATTACTATAAAACTCTGAATGAGTTTTCTTCATAGCAAGACCAAGGGCCCAGAAAGGAATATTATTATCCAAGTGCTGTTCAGTATCAATTTTTTTAAAAAAAAATCATATCTGCTCTTATTTTGCATATACTTGTGTTTGCCTAATGTAATCTTGCTGATTCCAGCACATTTAAGCATACTACTGAGGGAAGAAAATTCACTGTTTCATGGCAATATTTTACAGGATGATAGCACACACAGTAATTTTCAGTATACTTGCTAGTGTTGTAAAGAAATAAGCATTTCAGTCTTCCACTTTTTTCCCTTTTTTTCATCCTTGCACTCCTCCCTAAGGATAACTGATATCACAGTAACTTTGGACAAAAGGGAATTTATGATTTTAGTGCCAGATGATACAATTTCTTTAAAAGTAGTTTATTACTTATGTTGTACCTTGTAGACTCCTTAGGGGAAAGAAAGCAGATAAAGGAGGCTACAGCTTCTTTATCCAACTATTAACAGCAGGATGAGTGGGAGACAGGAGGCATGTGCTCCCAGGCCCAGCTTCTCCAGCTCCATAGCAGCTATAGGAAGCCCTAATTTCTCATGGCTCTTGCAAGCATCTATGTTTGTATGAGAATGTTCAAGGGAGATGTCTCTAATACCTCCTTCTAAAATCTAAAACTAAACAGGTATACTTTATATACATTCTGTATGCAGCTACAGGCATGATACAATATACATGTATATATGAAGACGAATCCTCTCAGCCTTGTATGTAACTGAAAGAGAAAAATAGAGATACCAGCATTCTAAATAGAAAATAATTGTGACACAAAAGGTCCTGAAAACCTTTAGTTTTCTAAAGGATGCCACTGATTATCTTCTTTTAACTATTACTGTATAAATGTTCAGTCATTCTCTTTTAGCCTGATGACCATATATGAGCTTTTAAATCCTGCAGAAATGTCCAGTCTGCCATCACTCCTTGTCATCAGGGATACTCTAACCCAGCCACCAACAATGGCTGCAGGAGTTGCCCTTATTCCACACCATGAATTTTATTATGAAAGGATGTCTCAAAAGGTTAGAAAATAAACTTTGGCTAATGTAGACAGTGGCATATTCTCTATCAGCACAGTGCCAGAACATGTTCCTGAATGGCTGCAATCAGCTATCTTCTGCAGTTCAGTTCTCAGACTCTTCTGTCTTTGCTCCTCTGTTAAGCTAATTTCTGCACAAAACTGGGAGCAAGAGGTACTGCACCTTGTTGGCGGCCCAGGCTATTTGGAAACTATCCACAGAGTAGCCCCTGCAAAGGGAAAGGCAATTCCACTGCTCTAGAGAATATATGCATATGAAAGATTCAAAGAGCAAGATAAAGTTTTGGGTCCAGTTCCTACTAGTTAAAGAGTAGTAGATGTCTGGGTTTTTCCGCTGTGGAGTCTCAGAAAGCATGCAGGGCTTCAGCTGCAAAGCAAGTCTTAAGAAAGCCTTAGCATAGATTGTTAACTGGGAGAAGGGAGACTAGCTTGTTAAATGCAAAGCCAATTTAAAGGATGGATCGTGTCTTTGGCACATGAAAGGACAGGAAAGTTGCCAGAAACCTCAGAAAATTCTGTTCTGTGTTTGGTAGACTGCTACAACATACCTTGTTGGCACAACTGTGACTGTTTCATTTGTGGGGATCTCAATAAAGTCAAAGGTGATTTCTATTGTAGAAAATTAAGCGACTGTTATTATGAGCAACTTTTATTTCATGTCTCTATCCAAAGCATTTCTGTAAATGCTAAAAAGGAACATGCTCTGTACAGAGAGCATACATAGGAATGATCTGTAGGACTGTCACAGCAGCAGAAAATAACTATATGCTTTAGGCAAATTAAATGTCCTTACTATATTGCTGTCCTACCTCTTTGTCAAAAACCATATGAAAAGGAAGCCCATTGCAAAATGTTTTTGTGTCAATCCAGAGAGTCTTGGGATAAACAGGGTCAAACCCTCTCAGGAGTTTACCTGTGGCAAGATAAGCGTATAGATTTCAGTCACATTGCACCTCATAAGACCAGTCAGCATCACATTCTATAAGACAGGACTCCACGTTATAATGAGATGGCCAGGTTTGAAATACAAAAAGCACAGAGCAATTTACTACAGTTGGAAGAAATAGCTGTAACTAAGTTAAAAAAGCACTCTCTTAAATTCATCAGTTCAATGTGACATGACAGGGAAGTATGAGACATTCCACAGAACAGTACTTTACAGAACACTTTTCAGAAGACTGTTTACGAGACAAAAGTGACAGGTCATATTCCATCTAAGTATCTGTCACTAGTAAGCATGCTTATTATCTGCACTTCTTTTTTTTGATTGCCAGTGCCTAACTGAAAGAAGTTTAACCAGAAACATCTTGAAAAGAAGAAGAGGAAACACAAATGGTAACTTCAACATGGAGGGGTGGGGGGACTCAGCGAGGCTTACTGACTTTCTTACTGAAAAGACTCATAGATAATGACAAGCTCACTCCGAATGTTCTCACCTTTTCCTAATGTGATTATTCCTCTTATAGTTTTCCAGTGACTTTTCTTGACAGGACAAACCGAGCCTCCTCTAATAGTATTCTCTGATTTCTCAAGATCCTGTTGAAATAAATCCAAGGGGATTTTCAAGGGTGTATTATTTTAATCGTATTTTGTTGATATAATGAATCTTAAAATACCTTACTGTTCAGTTGAGTATCATTTTGTTTTTCAGAGTCAGCAAGATACTGAGGTGAGAAAAATTTATTTCTTTCTTTATATGGAAGTACAGGGTTTTGAGTGACGAGAAAAACAATATGCTCTTTTTTCCCAGTTCTTTCTTCTTCTTCCGTTTGATTGACTATTTCCATTGAAATCTCAATGTTAAAAAAATCCAGGGCTGCTGCACCGATGATTCCTGAGAGCAAAACAAAAAACACAACATTGCCAACAGCAAAATCTTTCCATTTCCCTTTCAGCAAGCTCACAATGATATTTCACTGTTTCAGGAACTGCTTTACCAAATGAGACTGGAAGAAGAAAGTGGCCTGTAGTTACCTATGTTGTTCCTACTACCAGTGTGTTACTAGGATGAGATTATGTACATATGAGATATTTTTTAAGGTTATAGTTTGGGAGTTTTTTTTATTATTTGTTTGCTTTGTCTGACAACAAATGCTTACTTTCACTAGAAAAAGCTCAGAATACCTGAATAATGTGACCAAATGTCATACATAGCAAAAAATACAAATTCCCAAAGCCCCAGAACTGTACAGGCTCTAAAGAGATTCTGTTAAAACAATCTATTTCAGTAGAATATGAAACAGATTTTGCAGAATATTCTAGAATGGTGCAGAATGTTTTCAAGTAAGTCTTTCACGAAGATGCAATATCTGTCTTCTCATTTCTTCTTAGCTACTAAGTGAAATACTGGACAAAATGAAAATTCCAAGTAACTGTATTTCGAGAGGAATATGAAATGAATTTTGATATGGAGTGGTGGTGGGGGGAGGGGGAATTGATAAAAATATTTCATTTAGAAACATCTAGGAAATAAATGAATATGATTATCTCTTACATACTTGTAGATATTTAACTCTTGCATAAGAATAATTGCGGAGATTCCCAAAGTTAAAAAATCTTAACTCTTACCATTGCTGGAGTAAGATTCAGTTTTGAGCAGGGCCCAACAGCAGATTTACAAAACTGCATGTACTGCAGGAGTACATATCTAAGGATTATACATATGCTTTCAAACTACCACTGCTATTCACTGTAATTTAAAGAATATGAATTACTGAGAATCAATCAACATCAATACAAACATGAAATTCAATTTTCCTTCCACCAAAGGAACTCTACTGGAATTCTATAGCAGCAACAGACACATAAGGGCTGGGTTGGCATGTGCAAATCTTGTAGAAGCCAGTGGTAGCTACAAGTGATTAGGCAGGCAGGGAAATACAGAGGTCTGCTGTCTGATTACCAGGTTTGAATTTTTTGGCCAGTCTTCATCTGAGAAAAAGATTCTGAAACCTGAGAAAAGTATTTCTGCAAATATATGGTTAGTCCATACATATACTGCATACCAGTTGATCTGTATTCTGTATTACCTGGCACAATATGGTACAGACCTCTTCTATCTGAATAGTAATGTAAATGCATTGACCCGTCTTCATTCTTTTCTACTCTGAAAGATGGTGCATTCATCTCCTGATGAGACAAAAGAACAACTTTCAGTATCCTTCTTTGATAAGAAATATGGTAAATTTCAATTGTATAAAAGCATCCTGTGCCTTAATGAAATCAGCAGTAATATGAATAAGCTAAAATATAGAAAATTAAATATGCTCAACTGTGAAGGGTTATCTCCTATCCAGTAGAGTTAATATGCTAAACAATATCTACTTTTGAGAACTACTCAGAAAAGAATACTTTAAAAAACTTCTCCTAACATTTTGGATGAATGAGTTTTAGAACACAGTAGAGGCTGTTATGGCCTCTTTCTTCCTTATTCATACCTACAACATGCTGTTCCTTGGGTTGCAAACTGTCAGAGCACACCCATACCCACACAGTAATTACTACTTGAACTTGCCTGGTAAGACAGGGACAGGTAGCTGTGTAATGCATCCAGGTTCTCTATGAACTCATACAAATTTCCACCCAGCGTTCTCAGCATGTGGTCATAACCTGAACGTTTACAAAATTCAAAGAAATACTCTCCAAATTCTCTCAGAACCATATCAGCAGGAACACCTGGCAAGATAATATCTTAATAAATACAAAAGGCCTGGAAATTCTGGTAGTGCTGTCAGATGGATTAAGAGTGAATGCAGAATGTTTGCAACATAGGAAAGGCATCCTGAAGAGCAGAGGAGGAAATCTGTGATGTAGTCTCAGGAGTGAATCTGGAGGGTTTATTTTTAAGGTGTGGTGACACATACCTAATATTTTGCAGGCTTTGTCAACAAGTTGCATTGTGATCTCATCTTTGTAAACTCCAAAAGTCAAGAAACTATCCTGAACTCCAGCCTGGAGTCTACAACAGAAGAGACAATATCCTTCTCTCAGTGGTGTAAGTATGATGACTGAATCAGCATTCATCAAACACTACTTAGCTCACCGATTCCTTAAACTCCTTCACACATTATATTGAAACACACTACTTTCACTAATGGTTTAAGAGTGTATCTGCCTCCACACTTGTGCTAATTCACGTTAATGCATTATGACAAATTCTTTCAAGGATTAGGGCACCATACAATCACAGGATATCCCGAGTTGGGAGGAACCCATAAAGGATCATTGAGTCCAACTCCTAATGTGGAGGTACTGGAGCAATTAGTGTGTTAGCTTGTCTCCTGCTCTACTTGCTTGTTGCTCAATAGGGCCACATTAGCAAGCTGTTGGGTCTCCACAGTCCTGACCAAAACTGAATTTTTATACAGGCTTCGGTGGCTATTTTTTGTGGATATCTAAGTATCGTTTATATATCTTTAGCTCTTGGAAAATGCCAGAATGCTCATGCAGTAATGACGAAAGCAGAAAAGATTATATATTTAGCTGTTTTCCAGAAGGTACTGGAATGAAACTGACTTCTTATTGAGAATGACAGCTCTTCTGTGTAATTACTTTCAGATTTTTGTCACAGTGAGTCTATCACACAATTGTCCGTAAGACAAAATGTCATGCTTAATTACGTAGTGTAACAAATTAATTTGAACAAATTAATACCAGAACTTTTGCTTTTGCTCTGTTACCTGCCTCTAATAACTATTTGAGATACACATCAGCTGCCATTTATCAGTAAGGAATTAGAATCTTCTGCTAAATTTGTGAACAATTTCTTTCAATACATTGCACTGCATTTATTGCAAACACCTTACCTTAATTTTTCCCATATTTCTTCACCGTACTTATCAACCACCAAAGACTTCAGGCATGTATTTATAAATCCATACTGCAAAAGCAAGTAGGAACACAGAAAAGATACACCGATTTTCCAACTGCAGCCCAAACGTGCCCTCCCACCGCAGTTTAAGACTCCAAATAACGTTTGACAGGCATTGCATCTCTCAGTTAAAAGCATAACCGTTATCTTGGCCTCCTACAAGCGTGAAGCGGAACGGAGCAGACGTCTCGCACGCTATTTCGCAGATGTCGCCCGGCAGCCCGCAAGCAGAACGGGCTGACCGCCCAACGACCCCACACCCGTCCGCAACCGAGCCCGCGCGGCCGCCGCTCCTGCCCGCCGAGAGGCAGCCGGCCGCCCCGACCCCCTCCGTGTCCCCGGGCCCGCTCACCATCGCGCCACCGCCCTCCCGGCGCCGGGCACCGCGACACCGCCGCCCGCCCAGGCGGTCCTCCCGCCGCCCAGCGCCGCCGCCGGGGGCCGCCTCCCCTCCCGGCGCCGCCGGCCCCCGAGGCGGCCCGGGGGCGGTGGCACGGCGAGGCCCTGCCCTACTGCATGAGGCGGCGAGGCAGGCCCGCGGCCGACAGCCTTTGGGGAAGGTGCGAGGCGGCGGGGCGTCCGTTCACGAGGCTGTGTGCGGTGGGAGCACCCTGCCGTGGGCACTGTGGCACAGAGCATCGCTCCGTCGCTCTGCCCTGCAGGTGGCACATCGCTCAGCTGGTAACCTTGCACTGAGCTTCGGTGATGCCTTTCTGATGAGGACAGTCCTTTTCCTGACCTCTCTTTCCACCTCACAGCTCTCGTGGGGCTTCTCTGGTCAATCAAGCAGAGATTTTCTCAAAATCGGTCTCCAGCCAAACAGTGCCTGGGCTTGGGAGAAATGATAAAAGCTTGATGCATGCCTACAGCTGTGCCGCAGAGGGCTAGCTAAGCCTTCACGTAGTCCAGTGTGTACACAAAGCCCTCTGCATTTCCCAGGTAATACAAAATATTTATGTAAATGTGTGCCCGTGAGAGCTCATGCTTTTCAGCATCAGATGAGATGCAGATGGGACGCCTGTTGGCTGTGCTGAGGCACCTGTAGTGCACCACATCATGGCCCAGAGGTGGGTGCTGCCCAGCCCTTGTGCAGCTCAGCCTGAGCCCCCTTCTGCTTCTCCTGTGCACCAGTATTTTTGCTCTTACACACTCACGAAAGGGAAAAGGTGTTTTGTTTCATTTTGTTTTCAAGAGTTGCATCCATCTGCTTGAATGGGTCTTCAAGGAAAAATGTCCAGGAGAGCTGCCCATCATCCACAGGGGCAGAAAGTCTCACCCACAGCCCCGTGATCAGCAGGTGGGATCTCCTTCTGCTTCCCTGGGTGGCCCCAGGAGCCACAGGTGGTGTCAGCACACAGCTTCCCCCATCACAGTGTGGGCACCCTTCGCTTCGCTTCACTTACCTGAAGGACAAGCTGGCTGCTCGGTCACAGTCACAAATAGGAACCACAAATAATCTGAGCACACATCTGTTATTGCCATCAGTACAAATGTAACTTGCTGTATGATTATAGATCATTTTTTTGTCTGTGCAAATTTTGCCCACATAAAAACTTGTAGCTAACATGAATGCAACTAAGTGACACTTGCAGTGACAAATCAAGAAGATAAAGCTGTATAAAATGAGAGAAGATGAATGCTAAATCCTGTAAGAACTGTGTATTTCTGCTTGTTGCTTCCAATTTACATTTAAAAACTACTATTTTTATGTTTATAATACTTGAATCAGTATAGAGATTTGCAAATTAAATAAGTAAATACTTTCATATCTTTAATTTTTCTTATGGTTTGCATAACACCTAAATAAACAATCTGATTATTTTTTGTAATAAAGATAAGGAACTACCAAAAAGATTTAGAGATGCAATTCAGGAAATCTATCCAAAGTTCAAATTAATGCCTGTGTAACTTGTATTGCACAAGATAATTCATACTGGAATCGAATTAATGATTGTTGCTTTAGCCCTTCCTTTGATTAGTGAATTGATTCTGTCATTTTTTTCCAGGTTTATTTGGCATTATGGGAGAAAATTGGAGGAAGACCTTTCAAGCCATACTGCTCGTAAGCAGGTCGTTGGTGGCCCTTTGCAGTCCACAGCCACGATGTGTCCTCATCACCTTTCCCATCTCTAGCTGAACTATGGAAGCCATCCAAGTAAGAGAACATACAGCAAGATAGAAGGTTTACAATATTCTGCCGTGATTTTTTTATTATTTGTTATTTGTTATTCTTTTGGCACGGATCTTTTCGTAATCAGTACTACAATTCATAAAATATTTAAGAGACAGAACACCCTATGTGCTTCTGAATCTCAGCCCACTCTGTGTCAAATGAAGAAAACAGTACTCCCTTTCTCAATCTGTTTGTGAACATAATTGCTCCTGGTGTGGTGTATTCAAGTCTCTCAGTGTATACTGACACATGCTGACCCACCGTAGTGGCCTGGAGCAAAATGCCACCTGCTTTGACAAGTAAATGCAAAGGATATGCAAAGGAGAGGTTGGAGTAAGATGCTTTGGTTTCAAAGGGTCTCTTGCCTCCCAGACCAACTAGAGCAAATGGAGATAAGTTCAGGCAGAATTGGACAGTTATTTTCCTCTGCGACTGATCCTTGTCTGAGGACATGGGATACCTCAGTTTGGGAAGTCCTCAGTGGTCTTCACAAATGCACATCTTTTCCTTTCCATAAGCACCAAAGTGCCCAGTGCTGATGGGCTGACTGGGTTAAGTACAGATCAAGTGTACCTGTCCTGTACAAATTGCTAAATGTGATGTGTCTGGAAGCCAAACAGCAGCCCAAGTTCTGCAACCCCTGTAAAGCTCTGCAGTCTTCCTGACAGTCTGTGAGTGCTTGTATCTTATGTTTCTTCTGCCTTTGTGTTGAAAAGTCAGTTAATTCAGAAATGGGCTGCTGTGGCCTTGCCAAAAAGATATTCATCCATACCTGACAAAATCAAAAGGCAATTTTCCCTGGCCTTTTGTTGTACTTCTACCCAGCTAGTAATAAGCAGCATCCTTGGGCACAGATAGTTCAGCAAAATAAATGGGCTGACTGCAAGAACTGTATATGCTTTTTTCTTCAATTAGATGAGAAGTGAAGGTAGGCAATATAGCTGTTTATAAATTCTGGTTGCAGACTTGGAGAATGTAGTCACTGACTTTCTTAGTCTGTGTATGCAAGGCCATCCTCCTTTTTACTACTTTTTCTTTCTGTCGTGCAATTATTAGCTACAGTGAAGAGCCATATGTGAATAGCCATGTGTAAGGACTGCTGTAACCATCTGAGATCACATTCTAAACATTTCAGTCTGAGCTCAGAATACCACCACAATAACAGAATACTTTCTCCAAGTGGATGCCAGCAATCTCCGTCTCTAAAGATCCCCAGTACACTGTTCTTTTTAGCATCCTTACTTTAAACTTAGCCTCACATTCGTTGTTGAGATATCATGTGTTCATATTAGTCTAGACAGCCTGCAGTGACTTATTAGTGACTTGAAGAGAAAAGGAATCTGTCCTTTGACCAAAAGAGACCAAAAGAGAAGTTATATTAATATGTATTGGTAGGCTTCCAGTACTTCGTGCTACCAAACCATGAAGACAGCAGATGTAGAATCTCGATTACAAATAAAAATAAACATAGAACATATGAGATCCTGCATTGTTTGCATGGCTCTATTTTTGATAGATGTATTTAAGAACCCCAGCAGTTATATATGAATTCTTAGTAAAGACCCGAGGCAAAATTTAAATGTCATCAATGTAGGCTAACTGAACTTCAGTGAAATTGTACTAGTGCAGGCCTTACCTAAAGAAGGCTTTCAAAAACCCACCTCCTCTGGTTAACTGTTAAGCTGAGGTGGAGATGTAAGACTGTGTCAATAGTATTTAAATCAGTTTTGCAAAACTGTCAAGAAAAGTTACCAGCTCAGATCCAAAACCTATTCACAAGTGCCCTTTAACACTGAAAGGGAGGGAATTTAAGGAATGAATGATTTGTTCACAGAGCTCGATAGCCTTTGGCATCATTCCCTTTCCCTCATCTTTCCATGTATGCTGCCCATGTAGTTAATCTCTTCCTGTGCTTGAATTGCTCTGTATTCCCCTGGCATTTCCCTTCCTGGGCATTATTAATTTCTGAGCCTGGGGAAATCAGGACTGCATCAATGAAAATATGTGTAATACAAAGGAGAAACAAACCCTGTGTTTACATTCACTTCACAAAACTTTCTATTTAAAGTCTTTGTGCACGTCTCCTGGGTATTTTCTTTAGCTTGCAGCTTGTATCACTTCCTACCTTTGACAGTAGGTATCCAATGTCTTTGTTTTCCAAATAGAAAATAGCTCATTACTGGTATGTTGGCTTCTGATTGCTGGTTAATGGAATTTGTTCCAGCTTTAGCATCATTGCAATAAGCTACAAAGAATCATTTGTCATGATTGCATGGGCCAGGCTCATTTCTGCTGTAGCTCACAGACAGCATGATTATCCAGGAGACTAGAAGAATGCAGTAAAGAATAATGCAAAAATGGATAAAAGCCAAGGCTCATCAATCTTTGGTGCTGTGCTATTACATCTGTATTGTACTCAAAGCCATGCAGTTTAACATATTAGCATATGAAGCTGTCTGATTGCTTTCTGGGGTCTTGTTCTTTTGGAAAAGTAACTACAGATTTCAAGGTACTTGGGTCAAATGAAGAAATAGTTTTATACTAGCTGGCACAGGCTGTGCTGTTAAGCAAGGTTGTATTTGCAGAGTCTGTAGTATATTTCTCTTCCATCAGCTGTCCTGCCCTGTACTTTAAAAATAAGGGTACTGTTGATGTCACCTATAATCAGCCATGTAATAAAAGTCTCCAAGGACGCAGCTCAAAAACCCAAAGTAATTCTGCAACATATCCCCAGCAGTTAAAGTGACAATAACAGATAAAATCAGACATGTGCAACGTATGCGGCTTGGCTCAGCCCATCCCGTGGCCACCCCCTGCCCCACACCATCATGGCAGCAGTTCTTCCTGGCTGAGAGGCCTGGCCCAGCCAGAGGGCACACACCTCACTCAGCAAGAACCAAACATCAGTGTGACTGGCACTATCTAGGCTGAAACCAGGGCATGGGGAGGGTGCAGTGCAGTGGTAGCTCAAGTCATGGCAAATAATTTTATGCACTTTTTTACATTGCCTAAGCATAGTCCTGTGAA